ATCTTCACTTTTATTGTCATAGCTCTGTTTGAGTTGAATTTCTTTATTCTTGAATTTGAGGAAGTTTGAATTCATTTGAAGTGAAAGAAGATCTTTAACACATTCGACTCAATATTCACAAATCATAGGTTCTTTTTCTAATTCTAGTTTTTCATTTTAAGTTTGTGCTAGATTTGTTCTTTTTCTTAAGTTTGTACTGGACTTAGTAAAATAGATCTTACTGGACTACTCTTGCTACTTGTTGATCTATAGGATTTCATGGTTTTCCTAGACCATAAATTTCATTTGAATTTATCTAAATTGGAGGACTTAATTCCTTTAATCTGGTTAATTTTGGTGTCCCTGGTGGTTTGTCTCTCTGAAATCTCTACTATTATTTGCTCCGATGACTGTAACAACTTATGATCAAGCTTCTTTGTGGCTCGCTGCTTATCCCCTTTCTCAACTTCATTTGGACTCTTTTTCCCCTCTCTCAATCAGATCTCCATTGTGCTTTTCATTTGGCCATGGGAGACAACAACGATGGTGAAGAGAAGAGATTGGTTCGATATTAGAAGGTTGGGGAAGAGATGGATGGTGTGAAAATGTTGGGTTCCACAGACATAATAAACAGACATTGGATAAAATGGACAGAAGGTTGTGGCTGCTTTGTTTTCTATAATTGGTGACTTTTTTTTTTGGCACAATCTTATGGCACAAGCTAACTAGTACTCTTAAAAAATAATTCATGATTAAATTTTCATATTTATCCAATAACTATTTTCAACATTAACAATTCATGCAATATAAAATGGATATAAAATTAGTGTGATGTATTTAAGTTAAACTTGTAAATAATATTGGGTATGACTTTGAAAACCTGATTTATATTTAAAAAATATATTTTTTAAATTTTAACGTCCACGACAAACTAAAATTATGATGATAAGAGGAAAAAAGGTCCTTTTAAACTTTTTTCCAAAGAAATAAGTTCCTTTTGACTAAAAGGGAGAAGGCGAAGGCTCTACACAAAATAAGATATGCATAATGTATTAATATCATGTTTTTATTGGTCCGAATAGCATGGTATACCGATTTATCTAAAATTTTCTCTTAATGCTATGCCTTTTCATATTGATTTTTTTAGGCAATTTATAATTGTAATTGTCAGCCTGGAGAAATTTATAATTGTCATCAATCTATACATAATGAGATAATTAATACGTGAAATATAATATGGATGGTTTATATAAAAAAAAAGGTTGACAAAAATATATTAGGTTAAAATATATTTTTAATCTTTTAATTTTATATAAAATTTTAATTTAGCTCTTAATTTTATAAGTATATTTTTAATCCTTTAGTTCAAATATCGTTAATTTTAAATAATTATTTTTTCATCAATCACTATTTTTTAAAAAAATTAAACTTAATAAGTTAATATTTAAAATTACTTTGTCAATATTTAAAAGTTTAATATAAAATATTTTTGTGATAAATTAACGGTATAAGAGTTAAATAACTAAAAATGTAACATCTCAATTTAAATTTTAATAGTTAATTTGGGTTAATAGAAATTTAAAAAAAATATTTAGAGTTAAAAAAATTAGTAAGAGATGATTATTAAATCTAATTTAGGATATAATTCTAAAAAAAAATTAAAAGAAATTTAAAAAAATAAATAAAAAAAAAAATAAATAATAAATATTATTAAATTATTATTATAATAAAAAAAAGGGAAAACGTATTAAAAAAAAGGGGGGAAAGAAGAAGAAGAACAAATTGCTTTCAGCGCGTCATGATTACATAAAAAAAAAGGGGGAGAGAGAGGAAAGAAGAAATAATATTAAAAAAATGTAGGACCCGCTGAATTTTTATAAAACTCACCCGTTTCCTTTCATTTCTTCAATTCTTTTCGCGCGCGAGCTGAGGCGGAGAGAAATGAGTTGCCAGTGCAAAATATCTAAATTTTTAAGGTAAGAGTTTTTAATAGGATATTTAGAGTGTGATTTAAACTTTTCAAGACTAAGTAAGTGTTCTAAAAATTTTTCTTAATCATCCTTCTTCTTTGGTTTCTGAGTTTGTAGTGGTAGAAAATTTAATATCTGGAAGAGGGATGAATTTATGTTGAATAAATATGATTTTTGAGGTTGTCAGTAGTATAATAATGTTCTAGAGTATAATTTATTGATGATCTTTGAATCTGTGGCTTATGGATCAAATTCTAAACTAGATCTGAAAATATATGTTGATTTATTGAGGTTTAGATGATTATTTGGGATGAGAAATGAATTATTATGGTTATAGGATTATGATTCTAAGCTAGAGACTCAATTTTTAATTTTTGGGTATTTTAGGTACGAATTTATGAAATAAAAAGAAATTTTGATAATAGAAATTAGTTTAGAAGTTGATTTTTAGATTATTAATGTTTATTGATAATAAAAGAGGAGTTAAAAATTTTACTTAATAGTATTAACTATAGATTTGTATTAAATTGAGATTAGGAATTATGTTATATTTTTAATTCTATTATTAGAATTATTTTATTAGTTTCAAAAATTGAAACTAATATTTATAAATAATATGTTATTTTGTAGATTGTATTACTGGTGAAGATTGTGGTGAGAGAGAAATTTTAAGAAATAATTTATTGAAAAAGCCACAAGGTAACCATGCTTTTAATTTGTGATTAGTGTTACTTCATGTTAATTGGGTGATTATTGAGAAAATTATAAATTTTGTAATATTGTATAATTGTACAATATTATAAATTTGTTTGATTATTGTGGGAGGTGTTAGGAGACTTGCTATTATTGTTGTATTTATGTGCCACGTGGTACGCCCTTATTGAAGCTCAATAGGTGGCTTGTAAGGGCTCGGGCTAATCTACCTTTGGCCGGGTAATTTAGCACCGAGTGAGGGCTACGGCTTGAGGTTAATGGAGGGATATAAGGATGGTTGTTTGTGTATATTGTAATATTTCATATATTTGTTGGAATTATATTATTTTTTAATTCTCACTTAGTAAGCACACACTTAACTGTTTGTATACACTATCATAAATTGGCTTTGGTTACTGGGACTTTTGAGTCTCATTATGTGGTTAACAATTTTCAGGAGAAGAGCCACGAGTGAAACGTGGAGGAGTCCCAGAGGTTTAGTGGTATAGATCCACTGTCTCTTTTGGGTATTTAATTTATGATTTATAATGTGTTATATTGCCAATATTAGGGCTTTTTTGTTTATTGTCAATTATATGAATATATAAATGTAATCATGCCTTTCAAACTATTTCTATTTTTGGTACAATTTAGATGACTGTAATTTTAATATTTGGTTTACTTTGGATTGGTTAAAATGGCATGATTATAAGGCCAAATAACTGACTTGTGTTAAAAATTGACTAAATTACTTATTTTACTTATTGGGAGTATAAGGATGGACAAATGTGATTTAGTTTACTTGTTGGGAGTATAAGGATGGACAAATGTGATTTAGTCTAATGGCATGTGGGAGGTAAAAATTTATCTGAAATGCTATAGTGTGTGAGTTGAAGCCAATTATAAAATATTTTATATATAAATTATTGATATAAAAATGTGTTGGGTGGCTGTAACCCAACTATGGTTGAGTTAAATTATTTAAAAAAAAATTTGGTGTGTTATAGAAAATATACTTTATAAATTAAAATATTAAAAAAAATTTTATATAAAATTAATGGATAAATGTATACTTTAGCTAATAAATTAATATTAGCAAAAAAAATGTAGGGACTTGAGTCATTTATTTGTAGATTTAAACTCATTTGTTTAAAAGGATTCATTCATCTTTATAAAATGGCATATTAATTTAAGATTAAATTATAAATAATTTTTAGATATTTAAAGATTTTATTAAAAAAATTATTCTGTTAAAATTTTATAATAAGTTGAAATTATTTTATTTAATTATAATAATAAAAATATTATTAATTATTTCTTTTTATATTTTATGTCTTTTTTGTGGACCTCTGTTTTATAAGAAATGATTTATTATTTATTATTTTAAAATTTAATGATATGTTATTACATCTCTACAATTTTGTGTGAACCATTTCCTCCTTATCGTATCAGATTAACAATTTTATAGAATCATCTCCTCTCCCTCGCATTAGATTTGTATCAGACTATTTTTAAAATATATTCAAATAGTTTTTAAAGTAATAAAAAAAATCTACTCTTTTTTTTTCAAATTCTGATTATTTTAAAAATTTTTAAAAATATAAAAATTTAATTTTTTAAAATAATAAGTAATTTTTTCATGAAATATTTAAACAATTTCTCCTTAATTATACATAAATTACATCTAAAAATAAATAAAACGTATCACAAGTATTTGGATTATTCATTCATATGGTTTATACATAATCACACATTAAAATAAATTAAACATGTCACAAATATTAGGGTTATTCATGTGGTTTATTTGTGTGAGAGGAGATGAAAGACAAAAAAATGACAAAAAAATTCTATGTACTCCTCTGATAAAAAATATAAGATATTTTTTATCTTTTAATGTGTAATTATTATCATTTTTTTAAAAATATTCGTATTAAAAAATAACTTATTTTATTAATAATAGGGTGTTTAATGAGAGTAATTATAAAAAAATAAAATTAATTTAAAATAATAATATTTTTATTAAAAATAATATTAATAAAAAATATGTTAATATTTTTAAACGAAAAAATATCCTCCTTGTATTCAAAACTCACAAGTTGCATGCCAGAGACACATAATGCACAAATAATAAATGGTACGCTTTATATATAGTACTTGTGTGCAATACTGCAATTAGAGGCCCCATCATCTAACAATAATATGATAAAATTTGTGACAATGAATTAAGACCAACTAAAATAAAAATAAATTAAAGAGTTGAAATTGAAAATATAGTAATGGTTTGATAGTCATTTATTTAAAAAAAAAAAACAAAACAATTTCTATTCTTGGCTCCTTGGTCTTCGTACAGGACGGGTTCAAGAGAGATGGTAGCAAGTAGCAACAAAAGTCAGGGTTCTCTGATTCTCTCCCAAGTTCGTCCTGGGACACAAACCGTAGTTCAAAAGGGAGGCCGTGAGCAGCGATAGATACGGTGTCAGGGTGGATAACTCATATGTGGTGTCTGACTAGGCTTCACTCTTGAGCTTTGCCACCGTACCAAATCTCTTCTTAAATCTTTTCTTAGATTGCAATAGTGAAGCAGAAAAACGATTTTTATGCTAAATATGCGTTGTTTACACAAATCGAAAAGAGTTTCGTGGGCCTCAGATTTAGATCTTTGTCAGGTAATAATTCTATTTCAGTAACGAAATCCAACATGGGTCAACTAATGGGCGTAAAAATAATTCGAGTGGTTAACATTCAAGAATCAGCTGTTTAATCCCTAAATTACGATTTGTTGTTTACTATCTTGGATTGATCATTTTGCACGTTTTATCACTATGAATAGTATGCGTATGATTTCATGCCTTAGAAATATCCTCTTGGGGTGATGCTAATGTCAAGGCCATATCTTCCTCTGGAATAGATTGATGAGTGGATTCTACTTCCAACCCCCTTGCTTTACCCGGTAAAATGAAGTCTTTTCGCCCACAAGAAACCTTCTGTGTTTAAGGGGTGATTGACTAGTTTCTCTGAAGGATTATTGCGTCGTTAGAATTGGCAATTAAAGTTAGCATCAAGTAGGAGGACATGTTGTTTTAGGATAGCATATATTTAAAGTAATAATAAGTTCCTCTGTTGTGAAAAATTCCATACTAAGAGCTGGTTTTACATGAAGAAATGCAGTGCGCCTTAGCTTGTATTCATAATTGTGACCCTAATTGATAGCAAGGGTACTTGAATGACATGTGAGAGAAAGTAAGTATATCATTGTGCCAATGAATCTGACATGAAGGAATATAAAAGAATTGTGAAGATGATCATGAATGTGGAGTAAATGTCTACTAGATTCTTCAAGAGGGAAGATATAATAGATGCAATGGGGATGTTGTGACAGCTCAAGTACCTACAAAATTTTAACTAGTAGAATAAACTGCTTGATGTGATATTTGTGCTTGACAAATAGTCTATTTTCAATACAACAACAATAATAAGCTTTATCCTACTAGGTGGGGTCAGTTACATGGATTATATGATGCCATTATATTCTTTCATTTATTAAGCTTTTAGAAATATTGTTAATTAAAAGGTCTCACTCAACAACCTCCAAAAGTGTTCTTTTTAGTGTTCCTTTGCCCTTTTTGACAAGGCTCAAAATCACTTGTTCCACTCTCCTCACAGGTGCCTCTCGTAGTCTTTTTTGTACATGTCTAAACCACCTCAAACGTCTACCATTTTTCCTTCAATAGGTGCCACACTCATTTTTTCTTAAACTGTGAGGCCTAAAGAAATATTTCCTAATCTGCTTTGATTTGTTAAGCTAACTTGATAAATATAGTTGAATGCTAAGGTACCCAGAAGACTCATATCCAGGGTAAATAAATCTACGCAAATTACTGACAGAACTTAAGTAAATTTTAGATATTTGAAATGGAAAAGGAATATATCAAGGGAGGGTGAAATGAGCTGTCACCTGCACGATTAAGTTTTCTTCTTATTTCCCTCATGTATTGTAGTTTACATTTTTCATGGTTTATTGCCATTTATGATGCATATGGACTCGTTCCTTTTGGCATTATTGCAGAGAATAGATAATTATGTTTGACAGTAGTTGCCTCCGCAAAGTTATATTATGTTATTGCTTTAACTCAGTGTTGCTGTTACCCAATGTAGCCTTATACTTATTGCAATACACGTGTTTCCGGTGGCTGTGAATTAGGAATACCTTTTCTTTTCTGGATTAGATCTTTTGTGGTTTAAAGGACTTGAATGGTTTTTCTCATTGCTAGCTCCTCCAGATGTAATGTCCAGCGACTGTTCAACTCATTTTGGCAGTAGTTCGAAACTTCCAGCATGCAGTGATATTGATGCCCCCCTCAGGACATTTAGTGGTTTATTTTATGACCTAGTTTTAAAATTTTTAAATATTTCTTGCAACCTGATATTAAAGTTCTTTGTGAAAACATTTCCCTGTAACTTGAAATAGTAATTGTTCCTAGACTTTTTTTCTTGATCAGGCATGAGTCAAACTAGGACCACCAAGCTGTAAGCTCAGTTCGTCAGGAAATTGCCCTTGTGTTACTTTTATATATTGCCCTTCAAACCTACGATTAAGTTTTCTTCTTATTTCCTTCAAGCTGTTTTTCTCACTGCCCTTGTGTTACTTTGTCTGTTTATCCTTTATGGCCATATTTATTATCAGTTCGTCAGTATGAAGTTTGTGTCCAATATATAAAAGTGATTGCAATAATTTTCTGGTTTGCTTTTTTTTCCATGTTTTACCCCAGTACAATGGCAGTTTTCTCGTTAGGAAATTTTAGACTTCATGCTGTACCCACTCAGTTTTGCATATCTCTTGTTTATTTAATTGCTTTCCCCTTGGTTCCTTCAACTGAAATTTATTTTCCATGTGTTAAACGATATTAGTGTGGTTACAACTTGCTGGTGTCTATTTCCTTGTGAGAATTAGAAAATTTGGCGACTTCTCATTTTTCTCCAGTATTACAAAGTTTTCTTCTCTCTCTCTCTCTCTCTCTCTCTCTTGGGTTTCCAGGCTGACGCAGTAGAACTCTGCTGCTTAGAAGCATTCGTTGCCTTTCATTATAAAATTCTATTCTTTTTTCTGTTTGAAAGGAGACTAAGCGCAAGATCTCAGCCGCTTCAAACAAGGTCTGGAGACCTACTGAGGGTGAATGCAAAACTATTGGATGAAAAGGTGATAAAAACGCTTGGCTGGCTAGCCAATTAGCACAAATAACTCTTTTCGGAATGTTGCAGTAAATGATTTGTCTGGGGTCATTGTTGTTTGATTGTGTGATGTAGAGGTTGCGGGTGACAATGTCCAATCAGAGACATTTTTCAATAGCTTGCAAAGTGGATTTAAAAATATGTACGAATTACTTCCGATCAGTGTTTGACATCGTCACTACCAAAGTTCCTTGCAGATAGTTCTTACTGGCCGTAAAGTAAGAAATGGCAGTCACCTCTTTCCATAATTTTAGGCAAATTTTTCACTACATGTTCAAATCAAATGAGGGGGCTTCATATGTTGTTTTGTACAAAGACAAGATTATCAGCATATTATTGCCTAGTTTTAATTTTTAGGATGGAAGAATTTTGGATATGGTTCCTTTCAAGTCTGACAAAGTCTGTGGAGCTTTTCAAGCATGCTCCAAATGAAGTAGAAGATGCAGCTCATAACCTTTTAAGTGCCCGTTAATTATAACTTGTTGATGGCTATATAGGGATCAGAAATATGATTGCTCAAACATCATTTTAGGATGTCCAGTTGACTGGTGCAAACACAAGGACTTGTTGAGCCTTAGAACTTCGGGTGAAAAATGGCATGATATAATGTGATCACAGTGATTAATTTTGCTTCTGAAGCCTGTCAGAAGCTCAAAAACTCTGCCAACAGTTTTAGTTTTGGTTATATTTGAATGACAATCATATGTTTAAATAGATAATCAAAGTTAATATCCACAGATGAAATCTATTAAGAATGTTTTGGTGTTCAGTGTCTTGAGTAATGTTGATTTTTTCCTTTCCCTTGTGTTGAGTGAAACTGGTTGTGATAGAAGTGCATGTGTTTGTCAATTTATTTTGTACTTAATTTGCTGGCCACTTTTCATTGTAGTAGAATTTGATAAATGGTACTGAACAAAATGGTGGGAGAGGGTACAAAATAAGGGACTAAATCTCTTCATCAATCAGGTTAGATTATTTTTATCAGAGGAATGTCCTTCAGAAGTTGGGTTGAATGCTCAAGATCACCTCCAAGCGAAGACATCATTACTTTTTCATCCAGGAGGAGCAGGTTCTGATGACATTCTACCTCCTGGCTTTGAGGGAACTCAATCCTCAAGTCAGATGCAGATTAAGCTCTCCCAAATTCCAGTGATGAAATGGACCAATCCACTTGAGGTGGGTGTGTATGTGTTCCAGTTTCTGTGTTGAATGGTTTCTTATTTACTGGATGGCTTTTAAGATGGAGAAATAAAGGAATGTGCAAGAAAATCTCAAGTTTTGTTTCATTCTTGTATAATTTTTTAACATTTTTCAACAGATTGTGCTTAATCTCACATGGCAAGTGGTGGCTGGGGAAGAAAGCAAAGAGCTAGAGGATCAAAATCAGCGAGAGATGAAAGTGCTTGAAGCTATTTATCCCCGCCCATCTTCCATTCCCCCAAAGTTTGATTCTTCTCTTGCTTTGTACAATAATTCCTCTTGGATACCTCTATTGTCACTTAAATATTTATTTTCTTCTCTTCTGTTTCCCTGCATGCAGCCCCTCTGTCTCAATGGATGTTGAAGATTCCCTTTGCAATGATGATCATACTGCTTTGATACCAATTACGCCAATTGAAGATGAAGATTCCACAGTAGATGCACCTTCTGGAGTGCCACCTAGTTCACAGCCTCTTTTATTTGTTGCTGGAGTACCCAAGGGTTTAACTGATGTAGTAGAATCTAACGATGTTGCTGCTGAAGCATCTGTAACTTTAAACCATATCATGAAGAACAATGAACATGGAAATTCGATAGACCATGAATTGCTAAATAAAATTCTCAGCAACCCAGAAGTGATTGAGAAGTTGGTTAGAGATTATGGAAATACAGATAACTCTCAACATACACCCAATGCTGGGTCATCCTTGGTGTCTTCACGTCCACCTATTCCTCTGAATCAAGCTGAAACAGGTGCACCTTCATTTGGTGCTTTTTCGGCCAGCCCTTCCTATCCTGCCCAGATTGGGGGTGGAGTGGGACCTGTTCCTCCTCAACGGGTCCCTCCGCCTGTAGTTAGTCTTGGAGCACCGCCAGCAAAGGATGTGAACTACTACAAGAACTTAATTCAGCAACATGGTGGAGAAAGACGAGAGACTCCTTACTTGAACAACCTTAGGCAGCCCATAGGAAACCAGGAAACAACACACAATTCTAGATCAAGGGAACCAAAACCCAAGATAATGAAGCCTTGTATCTATTTCAACAGTTCAAAAGGATGTCGGAATGGAGCTAACTGTGCATACCAGCATGATGCGGCATTTCAGCCCCGGGGTAGTGCTGTGCCAGGCGTACAAAGTTCGAAGAGAGCTAAAATGGATAGCGAGATTACCAATTGGTTAGACTCTTGATTTGGCAGGTTGCCGAGCTTTGCTTTTGATGAGTGGTCATTTGAGACCGCCATGATCAGCTTTCTTCTGATGTGTACCATTTTTTTTAATTGAAAAGTTCCTTGTCCTCCCCTTGAGTGAGAATATGCAGGAATGGCTGTTATTTCTTGTTTTAATTGCTGCAACTTATTGCGGTATCAATCATCTGGCAGTACATATATACATTCATATATATATATATATATACACGCGCGCGCCCGCGTGTATTTATTTATCATTTATTTCTTTTGGCATTGTGATAAGTGGTGAGTCTGGTGACAGGGATCTTTGTGGATGTGAATATGATGGATACCTTGACAATGAAGGAAGGAAAATAAATTTGCTCTTGATCTTCTAATCTGTTGTTCTTCAGGAACGAATTCGTTGAGCTAAGAAGTTACAAACTTGCAATCGTCCAAACGTGAGAGGCCAAGAGCAAGAAGAAAGAATCTGGATGCTTAATGAGCTAACGTGAAACGCGGTTAATTTTTAAACCACTAATCGAGTTATCCGCCATGAAAATATGGGCGTGATGATAAAAGAAAACTAGTTTAGATATTTCTCATAGGGAATTTGTTGTGGAATTGAAGCGACTTGACTAGTGGCAAGTTGTCCTCCATTGGCATCACTGTATTAGGCTTCTAGATAGTAGAAACGGCTGAAAAGTGAATTAAATATTTTGACACGTTAGGGCTCAACCGTCAACTATCCTCTTTTTATTTTGTCTCTTTTTTTTTTTTAATAAAAAGATCAAAAGGATAATAACAAAACTAGAAAATGTAATGTTAAAAAAAAAGTTAATAACAGTACATTATTGGTTCAAGAAAAAGTAAACGACATATTACGATCCACATTTCTGGGCGCTGCAGTTGTCGAAGTATTTCAGGAGGTGAGAGACATTACAGTCAATGGGATGTTGATCGGAAGCAGAGAAAACACATCTCCTGTTGAAGCTGATGACCAGATTTTTCAAAGCATCTCTGTTACCAATATGCTCAAACCAGAAATTTGTGATCCAGGACATAAAAATCTGAAAGCAAAGATCTGGAGAAAACATGCTGTAACTTGTCGGTTGTAACTCCTCTCCATTGAGAAAGATTTTAACTGGACATGAAATTACTTTTTTTCTTTTACATTTCCAGGGCAACAGTCTCAAGCAAACTACCAGAACAAAAAAAAAAAAAAAACACTGGAAATATCCCATCTAACTGTGAGATTTTTTTTTCCAACAATTTATACTAATTTTTTTATTTTTAAATAAAATTGATGACTTAATTATTCTTTCGTCTGGGTTGCTGTTTTAATTACTTCTTTTTCTTCTCCTCCTCCTAATTCTTGGCCCTCTTTCTCCAACCACATTCGAACCCTTGATGTATAAAAATAATGTCCTTCATTATTATTCACATATTCAAAATTGATTCTAAAAAATGATCAAAGCATTTTTAATTTTATCGAAATAATTTCAAAAATATTATTAAAATATCATGACGTTTTGATATTCAATTTTTGTAATTGAAATCCAAACCCACCACAGAGGACAGAAACTCGGACATCGGGTGAGGCAAAAGGAGATAATAGAACGGTTAATGACGAAGTAAGATTACTATTACAATAATAATAAATAAATAAATAAATAAATAAATAAATAAATAATGAATCGGATCCGTGAAAATGAAGATCTGAACGGCTATGGGTAAGCGGCAGGGAGACAGCGTCTCTTTACTATCTCAGCACTTGGCACTGAAGGAGCAAGGAGCATTTAATTCCGGAAGGAGCCGATCTGTTTCTACTTCCTACTACCAATCTCACATCTCGCTGCCTTCTCCATCTCTGGTCTGTGTGTGAGTGGGTACGAGACTCGCCCCAAGATGGGTTCTGTTTCTCTTAAAGTAGGAGACGGTACTGCCAGATTTAAAAGAGCCACTTTTTGTTCTTCGGCAGTCAACATTCTCATGATCTTGTGTGTTATCACCACCAATCTCTTTGCCCTTTATGCTTTTACTGCTTCCCCGAGACACCATCGCAACCACCTGCTTCTCCATACTCAAAAGAACTTCTCTCTCATTTCTGAACAGGTCTCTCTGATACTGAGAGAGATCGATTCCTCTCAGAAAAAATTGGTCCAGATGGAGAAGGAGCTTCTTGGCTATGAAAATGTTGACCTTTCCAGACCAAATATAGCTAGCGAGCTTAAGCTCTATCTGCAGCACCACCAGCTCCCTCTGGGCAAAGATTCGAGAACTGGGATCACTGAAATGGTCGCCTCTGTCGGTCATTCCTGTGAGAAATCAGCGGATTTATTGTCGCAATACATGAATTACAAGATTGCTGGACCTTGCCCTGATGATTGGAGTTCAGCGCAGAAACTGATCTTGCGCGGATGTGAGCCTTTACCGAGAAGGAGGTGCCTTGCCAAATCTGTTCCTAAGGTAGGTCTTTATCCTTTTCCCACTTCCCTTTGGAAACCTGTGGGTAATAAGACTGTTAACTGGAGTGGCCTGGGTTGTAAGAATTTTGAATGTTTGAATGGTAAGAAATTGGGTAGAGATTGCACCGGCTGCTTTGATTTGGTCAATGGCTACGAGAATCAGAGATATGTGAAGGCTAGAGGCAAGAATGATTTTGTCATTGACGACGTGTTAGCATTGGGGAGTGGAGGAATTAGAATAGGTCTTGACATTGGAGGTGGGTCCGGATCCTTCGCAGCTAGAATGGCCGACAGGAACGTCACCGTGATTACCAGCACTCTGAATATAGATGCGCCATTCAGCGAATTCATTGCTGCGAGAGGGCTTTTTCCCCTGTTCCTAAGCTTGGCTCATAGGTTCCCATTCTATGACAATCTGTTTGATCTGGTTCATGCGTCGAGTGCCTTGGATGTTGGAGGGAAGCCTGAAAAACTGGAGTTTTTAATGTTTGACATTGATCGAATTTTGCGTGCTGGCGGATTGTTTTGGCTGGATAACTTTTACTGTGCCACTGATGAGAAGAAAAGGGCCTTAACTCGTTTAATTGAACGTTTTGGATATAAGAAGTTGAAATGGGTCGTGGGAGAGAAGGTTGACAGTGTTGGATCAGGCAAATCCGAAGTCTTATCTGCTGTGCTTCAGAAGCCTGTAAGAGTGTAAAGTATAGGAGCAGCTTATACAACAACAACAACAACAAACAGCAAGACGAAACAACTCTTTGCTTTTGCTGGCTCTCTTTCGCACGCAATGTGTTAAGATCATACAAGCAAAATAAGTGCGCTATTTGTTTCTCTTGTCTCAGGGCCTATCGTAACCCCAAGTGTCCTGTATTCTCAGTTCTGTTTTACAGCTTTATTCTGTATTTGGGTACTTGCCTATTTTCTAGCTAAATTAAGTTGTTATGGGAAAATGAATGGCATTTTTTGGTCTGATCTTGTTGCTTTTAGTCTCTTGCATTGCAACCAACGAACTGTTTCCCTATCTGAGTGATTATTGTGGTGGAGTGCTTGGAGCCGCAGGACGGGATCATAAGAATGCCTAATTCACTTCTCTCGGCCTGAATCATACCTTCTTTTTTGCTTCTCTTGCCAACTAGCCACAACCCATGATCAATTCAAAAGATACAAATTTAAGTAATGATAGTATAGTTTAGATAAATATAATCATAATATGTAACAGGTGGTCAGGAAGGAAATGAAATATTGTTTAACAAAAACTATTATATCTGGCAAAAAATGTTTAATGAGAATGTCATTCTTCACTACATAAACAATTCAAAAACAAATCTAAAAAAAAAAATTATGCATTTGTAACTTAGAAATTTTGGAAGATCTTATAAAAGACCATATTGATAATGGTTATTTTGGGTTGTTTATCAATGTTATAAATCAACATTTCCAACCCATTCATACGTCTAACTCTGGAAATTGCAACATATAGAGGTTGTTATATATGAAAACTGATCTTGACATATAAAGACCAACGTTATATAAGAATTGATATTGACTTTTATTTATTGTTATTGCAAAAGAAAGAATGATTGAGAATTACTTAAAAAAATAATTGCTTTCTTTGCATGCAAAAAGATCTTTTTTAAGAATTCATATCCATTATCTATATAAAAACCTCTTGACTCAAGCAAGAACTATTTAATGTCACTGCTTTGATTACACATTTGCCAAGCTGCATGATCCGCAATCATATAATATGGATATGAGAAATGAGTGGCTAAGTACAGCTTGGTGTAGATTATACTAATAATAATTTCGAGCTGTAAAATTTACTCCTTATTTATCTTAAAACTTCTTTATGGCAAACATTTCAAGAGTATCGTACGGTCATTGCCTGCACAAACGAGCAGAAATTTATTGGATGCCTAAAAAGAGATTCTTCATTTATTTCCACATTCATATACTCTGGGGTAGGGAATTTTTATAAGCAAATCCATCCGTATATGTGTTCTTATTTTTTATCCAAAATCCATCAAATGCTTGGAAAAGGCCCCATAAAACCACAACACATCAAACTAGCCAAAAACTAGCGATTAAAATCCAATTTCAACATATTTTAACATAATTTAAAGCGGAAACGCGGGGATTATATAGATATATAAAATAGACGCATCAAAATGGAGGGAAAACCTTCCTCTAAAATCATCTCTATGCTGAACTACACATTATACAAGTTTTTATAAATCCCTGGTATCAAACTTGTTAAATTAAAAAAAATATAAAATGGAGTTTTTGTGGACAATAGGTCTTCCTACTGACCATGCCTTAAACCTGTGGTGGCCTGTAATTACTGCTCTTCTATTTATATAATTACCCATTTTACTGAATCCCTAATGAATAGTTATTTATTTGAAATCTTAGATTCTTAACACCTTTTCCATTCAGCCATGTATCACTCCAAATGTGTGTGTATGAATGATGATTGACTCTGTAAGGCTTTGCAAAAGTCCAATTGTCTTATTCAACCTAAACAAATTCAATAGTCTAATTCAATAAAAAAAAAAATTGGTCCAAATAACTAAAGAGACCAAGAAGACCACACAAATTTCTTAGGTTGGACAAGACAGGAGACTAAACTTTCAAACCACTTGATCCAATCATATAAAATTAGTTTACTATAATTTTAATTAATTTTAATATATTTAAATAGTTTGAAATTTGAACGTAGTATTTCTTTCATTTACATTTCACCATTTTATTTAATATAATTTAATTTAGTTTGTATCTAAATTGTTATTGTGATGTAGATTAAACATGTTAAAATTTGTTGAACAATGTTGTTGAAGTTATGAAATTAAATTATTTAAATTGTAACTAGAATATTTACTATCATTGTTGTTGTTGAAGATTGTTATGAATTTTTTACAATTATAAATATTTTTATTATCTTAATCAAATTTAAATGAAACATATTGTTGCATCTCATAAAAGGAAAAAAGAGCCAAGTGATTATTGAACTATCAAGACCGTTCACCTAGTTCTTTGAACCAAGTCCAATGTTATTAATCTTTGAGTTACAACTAAGTTAAATCGAACCCAATTCTTTCCATAAGAGATCAAACTTCAGGTTATACCAAAATCCAATCTTGTCTAATCCTTTCCATAATAGACCATACTGCTCTTTTTTCATTGTCGCGAATGAATTTGAGCTTTTGATTCAAAAAAGTATATATATATTTCTTCATACAACAATCGACACAAACCATATGAATAACCTTGAAGACATTGTCACCTTCATAAATGAGAAGCTAATACAAGAATACACCCAGAAGAAATGGCTCTACCTGAGAGACTAGGAACGACAAAGTCAGTCAGATGCAAATTTTCAAAATTTGGCATAGTGGTCCTAAGGACAGCCACCTGACACGGGTCCATTGAAATGTTGCACAGCAGCACTGTTCAAAAGCATCATTCCCTCCTCGCTCATCTGTTTTACTTCCACGGGAGATAAAATCCTGATGCAGCGGACACATCCCACGAATTCCCTGTGCCACACATTTAATCACCAAAATTTAGAACTTTAACTGCTTCGCAGAAGCAATGAAGGACAGGGAAACTAATCAAATATTGAAACTTCAACATAAAAGGCCAAGATCACACACTGCATTGTTAAGAGCTTAAGTAACTTACTCCCAGGGATCATCCCCAACAAGCAGAACATCGTTCTCATAATCTACATAAACCAATTTCCATCCTGAACCCTTGGTGTCGTTCAGCAAACCCTCAAGTCCAAACATCCGTTCAATTGCGGAGATCAGTTCCTCGTAGTTCTTAAAAGTGGTAACATCTAATGATCTTCCCACGGACCCAGCCTTTTGAACCTGTCGGCCAAGAACACAAACCATCATACCACAAGATCTTGTGGAATAAATCCAAATTAGTAGTTCTTCACCACAAACCTTGGTGTAGGTTCGCATGGGTGCAGCAACTTGCGGCCAGGAGTTATTTTGCAAAAAGCTGCTTTCATCAAAATCAACGTGGCTTGAGGATACACCACCGCCTGAGTTGTCAGGTATGTCTTGCAGAGGAAAAGCATGCGACTCTGCCAGACTTGCGGAGGTTATCTGCGACTGGACGTCCTGGCTTGAACTTATGTTGGCCACCATGCAATCCGATGGGTTCTGGAACTCCCCATCCTTCAACACGCAAAACTCATCCAAAATGGTACTCGAAGTAGAAGGATCAACCATAGTACTTGCACCGTTACTAGCATCAACATTGACACTACTACACACCCCGCTTTGATTATTGCTCTCAGCTGATAGGTCCCTCGGATTGTTTGAATTAGATATACTATTAAAGTTCGGCAACCCTTGCTGAGGGACGGGTGTTAATTGGTCAGCTTGAGAAAACGACTTCAAATTCTTGAGATAATGATCCCACATTTCTTGGCTCATGGAGGGTAAAGGGGTATTAACTGCTTGGGGAAGAAGGGCAGACTGTTCTTGCAAAGGCCCAGTTGATCTGCTTACTCCAGGAAAAGATTGGCAGGAGGAATACAACATCCATTCATCAACATCTGCCTGAGGAAGCAGGCCATTTAAAAGAGCATAATCAGATTGAGGAATATCAACAAGTTGCGAAGGAGATATTGTTGATTCTAACTGTGGCTGTACGGGCCATGGACCCTGGTTTTGATTAAGCAATGCCATTTGACTCGCATGGCCCGGTGGGTTCATAGGGTTTGCCGCCACTTTTTCCATATTGCATCCTTCTATTGAAGGACAGTCAATAATATGATTAGTTAAGTCCACAGATTCTAATTTAGTCTTTGCAGAAACTGCACCAGAAGATTGAGCATTCTCAATTTTAGGCAGAGGATGCAATTTCCCAGGTTGATCACTTCTCAACAGGGAATGCAAGTTGAGGGCATTAGATTGGTCAGGGAGAGATAGAGAAGGATCCAGACTTTTTGGCGGTGCGCTCCCTGAGCATACAAGACGAGCTTTTTGACTATCTGTCGCCAGCGTATTCTTCAAATCTTGAGAGAGATCACTCTTGGCAGCAGATTCTTGCTGCATGACTGATGAAAAGGCTCCAGGATTGTTCACCAGTTGAGGTTTGAAAAGAACTTTCATCAGGTGTTCCATGTATAGATTTTGCAAAGAGTTTGGGAGCTCCAAGTTTGCATTTTCAGGAACTTGTATAAAAGGCCTTCTCAACAAAGTCCCCCACTCATTTTCTGTAACAAACAGCATATTTTGTCATTAATTAGAAGCCTTACATGTCGATGAAAGAGAGAGTTAAACAAGCTTACCAAAAGATCCAGATTGAAATGGTCGTTTCAGACTCGAAGTCAAAGAAGGAAAGATAAAAAGACTTTCAGGAGTCTCAATTTCCCAAGCACTAACTCTATTCTGCTTATCGCTACACCCAGGCTCATCCCACTCCACCTGTTTAGTTGAAAATTAATGATTTATGACCGACTAAGTAAAGCAGGACAACTGTTCTTCAGAATTATAATTTTAAAACATAAAATAAATGCAGATGGAAATGCTTTTCAAGGAGTAGCAAGCTGCCAAATTCACCTGAATATTTCTCCACTTAGAACCAGGCCACCTCAAAGGATCCAAGTCACTGATGCCAACTATAGTGCCCATATATCTATAGAAAGAATGAGAAGTCTTAACATCTTTCTGCATTCTTAACATCTACCATATCAAAAGTAGATGGCAATAAGCAAGTATACTTTAGTGCGTTGGTTAATATTATTGAACAAAAGCAGAGAATATTCTACATGCCATGATATTCTTCAGTCGATCAACAAATTACCTGCGCTTACCCGATTCCTCTGTCTCAAACATCATACCGAATCTCATGCCAACTGAGAGCTGGGTACCATATACAGCTTTTCTGTATTTAGCCAGCGGAATAACAAATTCTGACGGGCATGCCCTACAAATAAGGATACACTACACTTAAATGAAATCATCCAAGACGACGTACTTGAACTAAATATAAACGCTAGACTAATACACAGGTCATACAACAACTTAAATATACCTTGGGTTGTAGAAAACAGTAAATGGGCTCTGATTAGCAGCAGCATGAGCTGCAGCAGCTAGCACACCAATATGCATGCTATCAGCGGAAAGGACAGATGACGGCAATGTTGATTGTTGACGATTTGCACGCCTAACACCAACTAGCAGTTGTGATTTTTCGTCCCTGTTAACCACACAAAAGTATAATTTACTTTCGTGACCTTAGAACATTTTAAGTTTAGTAGAAAATTGTGTGCACAAAGACTGCTTCATGGAGAATAGAGACTCCTCTTTACATGAATTTTGCATTCTTACATTTGCACAAAGATCATTCTGCCTGGCTGGATATGATATTAGTCATTTATTAAGATGCTGCATTTACTTTTAATGATAAGAAACTCACAATGAAACGCTACACTCAAACAATCCATAGAACATTTAGCCAGCAACGCACGCAGAGTAACTACTCTGACTTTTTCCTTGGTGAAATGAAAATCGTGCTCAGTTTATTTTTTTAGCTACATATAGATTGCGACCACTACTTACCTGATAAAAAGAACAGCGTCGCCTGCTTTAAGCCTCTTTGAGCCAACAAATAAACTCCATCCTGTTGTTAGGAGATGTCTCTTCGGCTGACCTGCATGAAGAATGCGAAACTACATAACTCGTCCAAATCTCCAACTTAAGCAACGGGAACTTGAAGATCAAAGGCATTCTCACCTCGGTATATATGTCGGAATGTCCAGGTATTATCATGCAAGTCTCGGACAACGAGTTCTTGTGTCGGGGGTTGAATGGTGTAATCCTGAAAAATAAATACATCAGTTGAAAGGTAGATTTTATTATCCTGAACATAGACAGGCAAAGATAACTTCCGACGAAGAACTTGTTATAAGCGTACCAATGGGGGAAAGAGCTTTTCTGCAGCCCTGCGAGGTACAGAAAAACCACCGTGCGTGCTTGTATCACTAGCGGTCAAAGTTTTGCAGAAAAATTCACTTGGATGTTTGCTAGGCTTCATCCCAAAATCAGATATAGGAAAGACATCTTTTTCCTGACAAATGATGAGTTTCAAACTAAGAAGAACGTCCAAATATCAAAACCCTTCCGTCCCTAACAGTAACAAGTTGGAAATCTGGGACTTCGTGGGTACGCAAGCTTACAGAATTCAATGGTTGGAGACTCATTTGAGCGTAGATTTCGTCCGTGTCTTTATCTGCCTATATTAGAATACAGCAAAACGATGAAAGTTTTAATAAGGATTACGCATAATCTGAACTGCGAACTTGAAGACAAATTCAAGATGTACTCAATTAGCCCGGACGCTCACATGAAGTGTAACATTTTGAACTTGGCAAAGCAACTGAGATTGAAGATTCGGATAGTTTGGAATCTGTGAGGTTGCTGTTCTTCTAGTGGACGCTGCCACCTGTTCAGATATAAGCTAAATTAACAAAAAATTAAGGTCACCATGCTTTTAATAGATCAATGCTAATTGACAAATTAGAGAAAACTCTGGCCAGAAGCTTTCCGACAATCACCGCAAAAGTCAATTTTCAAGTTAGCTTGTCGCTTCTGCTGTACGTATCAACCTCAGAAACGAAGCTGGGCATGCAAAACTTACATGCTACTAAAATTAAAATGAAAGACTGGGAAACTCTCAAATTTAAAACAAGGTATATGTCCAGATGTCTCACCCCTTTTTCAAAGTGTATATATATATATACACACAGTGAAGTTAGGGATAATTTAATGGTAGTTCCATGCAAAACGCACCGTATACGGTTTCCAGAATCCAAAGAGTGTTCGGTGATATGAAGTTGCATCAGACAAAGGTAAACGAAAATATTGCTCAGTAAACAGTAAATTCCCATTCATCCGTTCTTTTGGATGAGTTCCAAAAGGTTAAACAATTTTAGATTTTAGATCTAATAACATTTGAACCGAACTACCCTTCTCTTCACTTGAATGTTCATTACTAATCCAGAAATGAACGAGTTATCTTTCAGCGCCGATGGTCGGTTGATAGACAGAACCCAAGCATTTTGCAAGACTACCCAAGTTGAATGCACAGAAGGAGCATATTAAACTAGTAACTTCACTGCACCTTTGGAAACAGCCTCACTTATCAACATTTTTCTTTCCGTATGAAAAAAAAAAGTAACTGGAAACTGCAATGTTCCAATGTTAAAACGCAATACTCAAATGGATATCAAACCTGCGGAGAAGATTAAGAACCGGTATGAGTACTAGATTTACCTGTTCACTGTGTCCCTGAGGGAAGTAAAACACCAGACTCCCCACCTGGGGCAAGCTAACGAGTGGACCAGCGCAAGCATGCCATAACTCGGAATTTATACTCTTTCGGACCCCTGAAATCAGCAGAATGAAATGCAAAATGCCAGCATTGAAAATTTAGCCTTGAAAAAAGGCCAGAAGGTGCGAAAGTCTTCACCACGCCTATTAGAGCTATATTATAAATGCAACTATAATATATTATAAGATTTTTAACTTGAAAATCATGCTCGGTAGGTTCAAAGCAATTTGGAGCTATAAAATATAAACGCGGAATTGAAAAAGAAAATGGTGGCAATGCAACAAACCAGATTGATCATGCATTTCCTTCAACATCTTCATCTCAGCAGCAAGAGATTGACCCCCCACAATTAACCCCCCGGTTTTAATCTTATCTTCGACGAAAGCCATCGCTCTCCACTTCAACGTAAACCAGAAGAGTCCATGTTTCTACGTCTTGGATTCAAAACCTGCATAGTCCACCAAACAAGATTTCATTGATCCCGGTTGGAAAATAGCACATCAAGTGATCCCACGTTTCTTGAGAAAGAATCACATTGTTGGAGAAAACAAAAGAATGCAAGCAAAAGCCAAAAAAGCAGAGCACAAAATGAAGGAACAAAACCTGCAAAAGGAGGTCTGAAAATCTTAGAGTGGGGCTCGGCAATACCAAAACCCATGGTTTTGCATCAACGCACGCGGACCGAAGCACGGATGGGGCGTATTATAGAGTAGAGTACTTGTTTCTATCTTGAAAAGAAACTGACCTTTCGATGAAAACTCTCATCCCATCCTTTCCTTCTTCTCTCTGAAGCAAAAGCACCATTACCAAAGCCCTCTTGCCCCTGTTCTCTCTCTTCTCTTCGTTTCCAACAGCAAATAGCGTGCATGCTCCTATCTCACCCTACACTCTTTAGTACACTCCGATTCCTCTGCAGCTTTAAACTGTGAGCAAAGAATCAGACCCAAACAATAAATCTTGGATAAAAAATGAAAAAGGGAAAAGCAAAGCTAGACTGTATGGACACGAAAACAGTTCAGTAGAGAGAGAGAGTGCAGAAATTCTACAGGCATGATTAAATATATATATATATATATATATATTATTTTGCTTTTTTATTTGCAAAAGGAGGATACGTATTTGGGGGGGAAAAAACTCCAGTCTTAATCTTTTACTTTGGAACGTTACGTGGATTACGAGGATTTGCATTGGCACCCCATGGTTCATCAGTTCGTCTCTCAGGTTGTCGATCCATTCTCTGATCCTTCTCGACTTCCCGTATTTTCACCCGCTCTTCAATTGAAATTCTTTTTTTCATTTTCACCAGTAACATATGTTTTCTTTTTTTTTCTCGTCTTGGTTAATTTTTTAACATTCATGGCAGAAAGCTACAGCAAGTTTTATGGTGTAATGCGAGGCAAATATATGTATTTTAGCTAGAAAGTACGGAAACAATTTCTGCTAGCGTGTGACAGACATTGTGTTTATAGGAGTAGTGTTTTAATTTGTTCCTCCAGAATGGCAGAAACAAAAGTTTTGAAAGCATCATCTGAAATATAAGATAATAATTAATTAAAAATTATTCAAGATATTAAAATTATCTATTAAGAATGTTCAAATAAGTATATTCATCCATTATAATTAAGATTTATTATTTTTATTTTATCATTATCTTAGATATCAATATTTTTAATATTAAATTTAGATTTAAAATTAAAATTAAAATTATTAATATTTTATTATTTTTAAAAACTCTATGAATAAAGATAATTTTTTTATCTGTATTCAATTTTAAATATTATTAAATATAGTTTTTGAGAGTTGCCACCTCTCCCCTTCCCGCTTTCTATATCAGGAAGAACCATATTTCGTAAGTTACCCCATGGGAAAATGGTGTGGCCGCACCGCTTCAATGAAAGTTTGGTTTCGAAAAAAAAAAAGTGCTTTTTTTATCCAAAATATAAACATTTACTCTTAATTAATTTTAATTTAAAATATAAGTAATGTAACATATGTAACAAAGATTTTCATTTTATCTTTTATATTTCCTAATATAAATATTTGTGTAAATATAATTCTCAGTCATCATATAATATATTAGTAATTGAGACTAGAAGTGAGAAGAAGCAAAAAAACAGAATAATTTTTATCGTAATAAAAAGTCCATTGATATATAATTTTAAAAAAATTGTTTATATTTGAAATAATTTCATTTATGGATATAGAAAGAAACATATATTTTGGTGAGTTTCAAAAGATGCTAAAACCCTAATTTAACTCATAAGGATTGAATTGAAAATAAGTTGAATATATAAAAGATGAAGATATAGTCAATTCAAATATAAAAAAAAAAAAAAGACCACTCACGCCGTTGCCAAAGCACCACTCCTAGTGACTAGAACCTTGCCGTCAACAGCAATCATTGGACCTCCATGGCTGGAGCTTTGACCGCGCTGGACCACTGTTGACATTATTAAATTCTCCAAAGGCGGTCAAGGTGGGTGTAGAATCCTTGACCTGTTGGCTAACCAAAAGATTTTGGACTACTAAATCGCCCAACTCATTCAATTACATAATGTATAAAATTATACATATATACACACATACATACATAAAATAAACTTTGTTTCCAAATCATTTGATTATTACGTCACTTGTTAATTGCGTAAGTTTACTTGTTAATATCTTAATGAGATTTGTTAATTACTTAACTTTCTTTATTAGTCTCATGACTCTCACAACAAAATTAACTTACTTGTTAGTCATGTAACTATACTTGTTAATACTTTAATAAGGCTTGTTAATTACTTAATTTTTTTTGTTAAGTCCGTGACTCTCACAACAAAACACATTACTTGTTAATCGCACAACTGTATCTATTAATATTTTAACAGAACTTGTTAATTATTTAAATTTACTTGTCAAATCCCTGACTCTTTCAACTGAACTACATTACTTGTTAATCACGCAACAATACTTGTTAATTATGCAGCTTGACTTGTTAATTACGTAACTTTACTTGTTAATTTCGTGACTCCCTTAAAATTATTTGTATAATAAATTTTATTTTCAAACCTCCTAAGTCTCGTGACAAAAAATATACTTGTTGAGAGCCTAATGTAGCATGTCATTTCTTTAAATTTAATTATTAATATTATATTTTTTTTAGGGTGCTGCTCTCTTTCTCTCTTTCTATATATACATGCTTATATAATTGAATATCTATTTTGATGAATGATGATAAGGAAGATCCGACTATCGTCGCTTTCGTTGGCTGACAAACTAAATTTTTTATGGAAGTTACATATTTACTTAACGAGTGACAATATATAATTGACAAATATTGTTGAGAAATTAACAAGTAATTTAGTTGTTTTTTTGAAACAATAATTAAACAAGTCTTGTTGTGCAATTAACAAGTCAAGCTACGCAATTAACAAGCATTGTTGCATAATTAACAAATAAAGTTATATGATTAATAAGTAATGTGATTCAATTGAAAGAGTCATAGATTTGACAAGTACATTCAAGTAATTAACAAGTCTTGTTAAAATATTAACAAATACAGATACGTAATTAACAAGTAATATAGTTTTGTTGTTGGAGTCACCGACTTAGCAAGAAAGGTTAAATAATTGATAAGTCTTATTAAGATATTAACAAGTATAGTTATACGATTAACAAGTAATTTAGTTTTGTTGCGAGAGTCATGGGATTAACAAGGAAAGTTAAGTAATTAACAAGTCTCGTTAAGATATTAACAGGTAAAGTTACGAGATTAACAAGTAACGTAATCATTAAGTGGTTTAAAAATAAAGTTTATTATATATATAATTTTATACATTATATGATTGAATGGGTTAAATGGCTTGATAGTTTAAAATCTATTGATGAACTAAGGGATCAATGGCTACATCCACCTTAACCACCTTTAAAAAATTTAATTTTTCATAATTATCTAGCCATCAACGGTGGTGATCCAGCTGGTGGCTGGAGCCGACGACAAAAGTCCAGTGGTTGCCGTTGGCAAGACTTTGATCATCAACGGTGGCACTCTAATAATGGTGGCTAATGTTTTTTTTATTTAAATTGAGAATATTTTTAATTTTTTTATATTTAAATTATTTTTAATTTAATTCTTGAGAACTGAATTGAGATTTTAAAATCCTTTCAACCCATCAAAAAATATGTCTTTTTTTTTTAGATCTTTAAATAAAATTCTCCATTATATTTTGTACAAGAGGAATGGAAAAAGGGTAAACGAAAAAAGCTTTCCCAGGTACAGAGCTCGGTGATGTTTGACCGTTCCTCACGCGTGTGGTTCACGACAAAAACCAACAGGTTGAAGCCCCTAAAAGTAGGCTGACACGTGTCGATACGGAGCCTGCATATCATGGCGCCGTTTTCCGCTTTTCACATTTCTTGCCCTGCTCGCGTTTCTTATTTAAAGAGCACCGTGAGCCCAAAAATCATTAATGAAGAAAAGAAAGACAGGTTGGTTAGAGGCCGGGATCAAGGTAGGGAATAGAAAATGCACGAGACGAGAAAGTGGCTTTTTTTTTTTTTTTTATGGCAATTATGAAAAGGATCTCATACTTACTGGCCTGCTTTATCTTGTTCACTTAGTGGGGTGACTTGTGCACCAAGGAAAGTGTTGATTATCTTGCATCGTACTTTGATCAATGCCAATCCCTCACGGCAATATAAACTTATCACCACGTCCGCTGCTCTGAATTGACCTCCTCAGTCCTTACGTTATTTGAGGAAAGGCGAGCTATAATAAATTGTGCATCAAATGTGGTGCCATGCAAGATCCTCTGAATTCATTCCGAGCTGAGATGCTTTTGTGAGATTAGTATTTTTATTCTTTTTGAATGGCAGTATGATGAAAAACTCTTTATACTTGTATAAAGAAAATAAATGACAGAACTGATCATGATTTTTACAACAAAGTTGAAGGAGACAATCATTAATTTGTTTATAATCTGGAGGGGCTTGCTGAATTTCTAAGATACTCAGGATATTAGTAAGTAAAAAGAATTCAAAAAGTATGAGTGAAACACTACAAATCTCAACTATTTCTTTTGAGACTGTTTGACTTTCCTTGGCCCTTTAAAATTTTTTTGAATGGTTTTCACTACTTCCTAGATAGCGCGAGGAATCATTTGAGCTTATTGAAGACTTTGGGACAACTCTGATGGTAACAATGATGACCAAGCAACATAAATCCCCTAACATATATGAGGGTCCTTCTCAGAATGACAACGATGACGACCATAACCCGAAACAGACCAAATAAGCTAAAAGGTGGCGGTGCAAGCCAGTCATCTGCGAATTTATCTGGAGTCATCTATATTCTACGTAGCATATATAATAGAAATATTCCTCCCGTCACGCCATGTTTGGTTTGTGTGAACGAATGCCATAAAACATCAAGTGGTAAGAGCATTTGTTAAAAAAATGAAAAGGCCGGGTCACAGCGGGGAAGGCCACCACTTTTCTGTAATTACATGACTAATGCAATGCTGACACTATTTAAAATGATTTCCTATGCTCCAGTTAATAATAAACGTATTCATCAATATTCAATCACCTTAGCAGAAAGGAGTACTAAAATTAAATATATACTAACCTGATAATTTTTATTTATCTTTTAAGCCTATAGCACTGTACATTGATTATTCAGGCTGTTTTAGACTTTTAGAGACACACAGATAACTTTGTTAGCGATTGTTAAAACAAAAAAAGTGTGACGACCGTATACGAGGCTAGTAAAAATAAATTTACAATCAAAGCACGGCAAGCAAGATTATCCTGATACTCCTTTTAAAAAAGAAATATATATATATATATATAAACTCAATGGCTACAGCCGACAATAAAAGGAGTGAAAAAAGGGACCAGGGGTCTCTTCACTTTTTCCCTTCCTTTTCCTCCACTTACCCCATCCCCACCATTCAAATTTTTTTATTAAATAATTTTTTTAAATGATAAAATTAATGAATGGTGAGGATGGGGAAGTGGAGTG